AATAATTAAATTAAAAAATTGAAGTTTTAAAAAGTAAAAAATATATTTCTTATTACTATTATTCAATAAATAATTATGGTTCAAAGCCAAAATTCATCACTCAACTCTGCATAAAATATCCGATCATGTAGAGTTGGATTTGTTATTAGTTGATCGTGAGGATTCTTTCCAGCTTTCAAGCTCTTGAGATTTTTATACCTATATTTTAATGAGTACCATTTTCTATGACATTGAGAGGAGAAGCGGTGAACCCTCTATTAAGAAACAATTGGTTGGATATGATTCTCTATATCCTTTCATGGCAATTATTAGAAATGAACTCAAAATCGTCATGATTATCACATTGAAGTTGAATTAATTCACTTGCAGTGTCGACTGTCCATTTGAATGGAGCTACAGCGGGAGCAGTCAAAGCCATAATGATAGAAATAAAAAAAAGGAGGAAAATGAAATAGGCAGGATCGAGAAAATAAAAAAAAAATAAAAAGAAATAAATGGGAATCGAGAAATAAAAAGAGAGGAGGAGAAAATGAAATAAACGGGATCGAGAAATAGAGAAGAAAAAGAAAAAAATGAAATAAACGAGATGAGAAATAGAGAAGGAAAAGAAAAAATGAAATAAACGGAATCAAGAAATAAAAAAAAAATGAAAAAAATGAAATAAACGAAATTGAGAAATAAAAGAGAAAAGGAGAAAACGAAATAAACGAGATGAGAAATAGAGAAGGAAAATGAAAAAAATGAAATAAATGGGATCGAGAAATAAAAAATGAAAAAAAAATGAAATAAACGGAATTGAGAAATAAAAAAAGAAAAATGAAATAAACGAGATGAGAAATAGAGAGGAAAAGGAAAAAAATGAAATAGACGGGATCAAGAAATAAAAATAAAAAAGAAAAAAACGAAATAAATGGCGATTGAGAAATTGATGTGAAATAAAAAGTCTGAAAAAAAAAATAAAATAAAATGAATTAGAAATGGAAATCGAAAAAATAGATAGAATAAAAAAATCGAAATATAAAAGAGAGAGAGAGAGAGAGAAAGAAAAAACGAATTTAAAAAAGAAAAATGAATTAAAAGAATTGAAATAACAGACAAG